ATAACGTGTGATATATGAAAACGACCGTATTAACGAGAGGATTAGAATAAGTTACCCGACTTCGGGAAACTACGAATTATTGAACGGGAAACGGGCCAAACAACGGGACAGTCGAACGACTTTGGGACTCAAATGCTCGGACGGGACTTGGAATTCTCGGACCGGTGCTAACTGCAAACGATGTCCACGTACAGAAGTTCCTCACGACGGACGGCAATCGAGACTCGCTGCGAAACAGAGATTAACAGTTGCCGGAAGGGAAGGTGTCGCCGGATTTAATGGAGGATGGACCAGAAGCTCGGAAAAGGACGGTGGCTCTCGGGAAGGTTGCTGGCGAACGCCGGCGGCTAGGTGCTGCTCACGAACAAAGGGGGAGAAATCGCCGGAGATAATGGAGGTCTACGGAGTTGCAGGCTTCGCGATTTTTTTTTTTTTAAAACACGAGAGCTTCTGATGATTCGAAGATGAGGGAAAACCAGCTATGAATGAAACTGGAGGAGAAAGGATCCTCATCCGAGTTCAGTTATAGGAAAAACTTGAGGAACGTGCACAAGAAAATCGGAACAGAAAAATTCAAACGGGGAGAGTGGGATGACTCTTTCTTCATCATGTGGGGTTAAGGAAAAAAATATAGCTGCGGATGAAGCTTAAATTGGGCTACAAAATCTAATCTACAAATGGACCAATTATTGAGGATTTGGGCCAAACCATAACTTAAATGTAGAAAAGTAAAAGGGCCGAATATATGGACATCCATTGAGTCGAATTCTCCAACGATTCGACTTACGAATATTCGGGCTCGGCTCGATGGAACGGTTCGGTAAAATAAATTAACTGAAATATATATTTATTTATATAATACAGACAATAATATTTATAGTAATAATAGGCATTTAAACAATTAGACATTTAGAGACAATAATAACAACAATAATAATAATAATAATAATAATAATAATAATAATAATAATAATAATAATAATAATAATAATAATAATAATAATAAAAATTGCCCTCGCGGGATCGCGACCCTTTGCAAATCCGGCCGTCGATTATGCAAAATAAATAATCCCAATTATTCATAAACAAACGGGGCGTTACAATAGGTATTGAACAGGACCACGAAAGGATAAGATTATGAGACTCACTAACCGTTGTTGTAATCTAGACCTTCAGTAATTGATGCGTACTCTTAAGCTGTAAGATAATATAAAATGGGAATATGTATTCATTATTTATTTATTTGATTTATCAAGGGTGATTCCTATTTTGCTAGGATGACATACTCGGTATTTTGGTAAATAAGTGTGTTTATATGATGTGCCATTATAAATTATTCACGGTCACTGTGTCCCAGTGCGCTGGGTTGATGAAGTCCCCGAAATGAGCTCAGGAAGGAATTTTATGTCAAGCCCTGCAGGCGAATGTGTTATCCGGCATAATGATTAAGGATCTGAGTGGTACTAGTTTCAGAAATGAATAAGAAGTTGATTAATTATTTTGTCAGTAATTTAATTAATCAACGAATGTTATACCTTAAACATGGG